TCTGGGTTTATGACACAGCTCCAACAGTCCCAACAGTATGGATACACCACCAAGAAGACTTTCCTCTTGTAACTCCAGCATCTAAGGAATGGCATTGGAGTGACCTGTGTGCCAAACCCCTGACACGAGGCCCGGCACACTTCAGGGCACTCCAGAGTCCCTCCTAACTGGTCAGAGCTCTGCACCTCTCCAGCCTGGATCCACAGGGAAGGATGGCATTTCTTTTTCCTTTTCACACATGGGATGTTGACACTGGGGTTGTTGCTTTAAGACTGCAGGTCCCTGCGCACACACAACCATGCAAATGCTGTGAATGCCCCGGCAGCAAGAATGTACTGCTGCTAAACATTTGCCAGGTTTTCCACTGCATGTCAGGCTGTTTCAAGCAGATATATTTCTGGGATATTCTTCTTCATCCTGAGACATCAAGTGACCCTGCATGGCTCTGTGATTATTGCCAATTGTCAGGCTTGTTTGAACTTTCCTTGCTTTCTTGCTTGAACTTTCCTTCAGGTTCTCTGGAAAATGCAGGAGGTCCCACCATGGTGGCACCACTGCTCTCCTGCCTGTATGAAGGGAGAGCTACTGGTGGTGAGCAAATCTCAAGGAATGGAAAAGGGAGAAGCAAACACGTTTCAGAGGGAAACAGCAGGGATTCAGGTTTCAGCACTGAGAGAAGCTGTCAGCCCAGCTGGGGAGGTGGCAGCACCAGAGATGATGCTCTTGGCCAGTTCCCACTAAGAGGTGGCAATTGGGATGGATCCCCAGCATGCCAGCTGCTGAAAGAGAGAGGGAGGACAGGAAGTTGTTGGAGATTAAAAGCAAAACACCAAAAGTTCACAGTCACTTGGGACACAGATACAGAAAGTTTGGGTAATTTCTCTGCTGTTCAGGTACAGGAATACAATGCCAGAGAGAAAAAAAAAAACAGTGGTGCTGCCCCAGCAGCATCACCGAGGTATGACCTGACCATATACATCATGGTAGATGTATACCTCATTTTCTACACTACTACACTACTTTAACAAAGAGGATTTTAATGGCTTGATTATGCAGATCACTTTCCCCCAGATGATCCACATATCCCCTTAAGAAAAAAGCATCAGAAAGCATCATATTTACTGACATTTGTGGATGGACTTCCCACCTCCACTGAGAAACATCAGTAAGATTTGGACACTGAGTAACTTGTAGTCAATCACCGCAGTTAATCACCTGGATTGCCTGCCAAGTAAATAGCCTTACTCATCCTATTGATACTGAGACATCCATCATTTTAATTGTCCAGGACTGTGGAGGTGGAATACCTCAAGACTGTCACAGGACCTTAAACAACTATATGAGGGCAGAAGAAAAAAATGAAAGGACAGCATGGAGGAAAGGTCATAACTTTATTACCTTGCCCAAAGCAGGTGTCGTAGTTAGAGCTTGGTCCTGTAATTGATGCCAAATAAAACAGAAGATGCTTCATGTAGTTAAAAAATAAATCACTACAAAACTACTGACACTGCTATGGGTGGGTATTTTAAGACCCACAGCAGCCACGACCCATGAAAATGCAGGCTCTGACAGCTGTTATGTCAGACACCATGTGTTAGTCCATTCTATTTCCGTGCTGAATGCATGTAGTCACTCTGCAGTGTCATGCCACAAAAGACCTATCAACAATTATCATACCAGATGAGATTCATGACCATAGAGCAATCAAATAGAATGTAATTCAAGTCCAGAAATAAGCCCTGTTCTTGAAAGCATTTTCACAGCATACAACAAACCAGGAACAGGCAACTCGGGCAAAATTGGGGTGTCAGAAAAATAGAATTAGTTCTAAATATTTAGAAATATTTTTGCAGCTGTCCTGATGAAGGCTTGGGATATATCCTTTACGGGACAACTGATTACAATGTGAAAAAACTTGATAATGCTTAAATTAAATTATAAATGATACATTAGCTACACTTATTTTACATAGCTAGAAATTAAATTGTTCTAAAACTCTGATGTCTGTCTGCTGAGGCAACTGTGTGAATGGAGTATATTGAAGAAGTAACAAAATATCTCAAGAATGGCCATTTACTTGTTTTTAAAAAGACTATTTTAAGGGCCATCAAAGATAGACAATGAAACATGAAACTGTTAAAAATATTCATTCCTTTTGGGACAGACCCCTCTCAGCATTCTTTCTGCACTTTGCAAGATGACTTTTTCCATTTATACCATTTGTGTGAGCTAGAGGCTATAGCATACAATGTTTCTTTAAAAAACAAAGGGAAACTAATTTATTCTAACCCAAAGAACACAGTAGCTTTAGTGCTAGAAGGAATGGCTACGATTTCTGTTCTGCATTAGAAGTGCCAGAGTAATTTATAAAAGCCTGGGAGGGTTATTTGTTTTAAAAGATCCCTGCTTCTGGTTCCTCTGGTTCTTCCTCCAATGCCTGTTTAGTATTTTTTATATTGGCATAATATGACATATCTATGGCAAACTGGATTGTTGCACTCATAATATTTTTAAAATTTGTATTAACAGAGCTTACTTGGAAAAGATTTCTACTGACTAGTTTAAATCTCAGTTGTGCCCCTGTGATCATCCAGAGGACAAGGGAATAGTGTCCTGATGTTTCTATCCAGTTTTCAGAGAAGACAAAGATGGACGAAAAACCTGCTCTGAATCTGTGCAGCAGGGTGCATGAAAATAAACATCCCTCAGCTATTTCATGGAGAAAATGGATTTAATCTGTTTATTAGCATACAGTAATGCTGTTCAGTCAAATGTCTTTTTGTTAGGCTAAGTTTGAATTCTAATGTCTGCTGCCTGGCAGTAACTTGAACCCATGATTATTATGCCCTTTAACAGTCTGTAAAAATGGCATGAACGTGGGTCCACACTGGTGGCTGCACCTTAGCAGAGCTGAGCAGCTGGTGTTGCTGAAATGCAGCTCCAAAGAAGAACAGACTTTACAAGCTTGCCTTCCTCGTTCTTCTCACCAGGCTACTTCACACAAAGGGGTAAAGGCAGGAAAAAGACACAAAGACACTGATGCTGACAATCTCTCAGACCTTCATATACTGGTTATATACTTCTGCTGGTAAAGACTTTCTGGCCTCACAAAAAAAAAAAAAAAAAAAAAAAAAAAAAAAAAAAAAAAAAAAAAAAAAAAAAAATATATATATATATATATATATATATATATATATATATATATATATATAGGGAAATATTGGATGCAGTAGATGCAAAACTACTACTTTATTTTTGGTTTCAGACTTGAGGCATCCTCACCAAAACAGTCTGTTTAATTTTCTCAGAGCCTGTGCCAAGGGAGTGTACTGTATTTAAATGAAGTTCAATTCATTTTCTTCATGTTTCTCTTCCTACTCCAAACTTCATTCTTCACTATTTACTTCCTCTGGCCCAAATCTCCCTGCTCAACCAGTCATAAAAATCCACCTCTCTTAACCCAGTCCCAGTTTCTTTGCTGAAAAATCATTGAATCTCTTTGTCATCCCAGCTCCAGTACCCCTTGCCCAGGAAATCTCCTTCATCTTTCTTGTCACAGTTCTCAAAACCCCATCTTTCAACTTTGTCCTGACTTTCCAGGCAGCTTCCATATAATTCAGGTCATTTCCTCCTTCACACTGCCAGAGTGATAAACACCTCTTAGCTTTGCCAAATCTTGGCCTTGCCAGACTACAAGCTCCAAATAATCTGAGCATGTCCCTTTTCTCCCTGGTTACAGAATTAGACATGTTCAAAGACATGTAATGCAGCTAAATTTAGGTGAAACTTACTGGGAGATCAGGAAGACACATCCTTGTCCCAAAGGTGACCTCCTGACAAGGCTCATGCTTTCACTCTGAAGGCTTAGAGGAGATGAAGAGCAATGGACCATTTTCAAAGGAAAGGTCACCTGGAGTTTAACATGAGCAAAATTACATTTCCTCCAGCTTTATTTACAGAACCAGATGAACCATTTCAACTAACATTTTCAAAGCCCAGCATGGGAAGTTTCAGCATGAATAGCTAAACTGAAAAAATTACAAAAAACTGAGGGTAGATTACTTTCCTGGGGAACCCTGGGGGAAGAGGAGCCACACACCAACTCTGCCAGAGAACTTTTCCCCTCTAAACTAACACTGGCAGCTGAGGGGCAGCCAGGCTGCAGTCCAAATAATCACTGTGTTTCTTTTTAATAAGAGTTTGGACCTGCTTCAAGCCTAATGCTGAAATTAGATATTTTACTAGCTTTTTAATTTTTCAATTCAAAGTCTAGAAGTTTTGAGAAACCACATAAACCACTACTGAAGGTTTCCATCTGGACCACGGTTCTGAGTTCAAGACATCCAACAGAAGCTGTTTTGCATTCTGCAGGAAGCCAGATGAGCACCGCTCAAAGAGGCAAAAGTGTTGAGCTTCTTATCAGTTTCATGCCACTAGTATGAAAAATACAGTTCTACTTTTTACAAAAGCCAAGGGAAGGATGAATGCCTAAACACAGAGTTTTGGCTATAATCACAGTGCGTGGTAGTTTAGATGTGCCTTTTCTAAGAGACCCCTCTCTAGGGGACACAAATGATTCCAAAGACATAAACAGCCAGCCTGACTGATGTGATTCATTGCTGCCTTTCTTTGATAAGATCACCATATGCTATTGCAGAGCAGAAGAAGCCTCAGTGCCTGAGCCTGAATTTGATGGTTCAAGAATTACCTATGTTTTCATTCAGGAAATTTATAGTCTTTGCTAACCCTAAACTAGAAGACACATCAGTCACATGTTTCAACCTTTCCAGCAAACTCAGCTCCACATGCACTACTTAATTTTTTTCCAGTGCAGTTATTCCAGTATTTTCTGGTTCTGTCATTTTGGAAGTAGACATAAGAAAAAGGTTAAAAGTCAACTCAGGCAAGCTGCATCAATAAGTTAAGTTCAAATTTTCTTTAAATAACTACCTATCTTAGAGTACCAACTCAGATCACTTAAGACTATGTACTTAAAAACATTTGGCTTAGAAAAATGACCTTTATTAACTTTCCACCAGTGTCCCCTAGAGAAGGGTTTCTACATTCAAACATTCAAGCATTCAAAAGGCAACACTGCTTCAGTAAGTGCTCTACCCTTTAAGTCATTCAATTTTACTTTTTTCATCAAATATGTTAACATGCCTTTAAACCAATGCAGAGGCCTTCCTGAAATTTTTATACATTTTTTTATATGTTGTTTTTTCTTTTATTTTTACTTCCAGTTTCTGATAATGTTTCACGGTCAAGAAAAAACACATGAGGAAAATAATATTTTAAAGAGAGAGACAGGTGAGGTCATTATCCACCTACCTGATAGGTTGATATGCTTACTTTTTGAGATTTATAAGTATTTAATATTTTCTTTTTCACTAGCAGTTAATCACTTAGTGCAAATGATGCTGCATGCTCATCAGTTACCAATATACTGCTTTATTTCTTGGTAGCAAATTAAGGCTTTATAGTGAGATTTGTACAGTACAGGCCAAATTTAAACATTAGAAACTTTAAAAACCACGTAGCACTATTCATTCAATTCAACATAGCCAGAAAAGTAGCTTTATTTTTTTTAATAAACAATTAAATGTTATTAGTGAGGCCTTGTATTTCATGAGTGCAAATGGCTCAAAATCCCAACATCCTCAGGGCTCAACATTTAAATTTCTTGAGGCCATTTTTAGATAAAGGGTAAACAGAGAGTATAGCTGGCTCAGATAAAATATACTGTATTACTTACTGGAGAAGAATCTCTTATTTTAGAAATATGGAAAGGAAAGCCAAAATGAAGTTAACTGTTCAAGGTTATATTAATATTAGTCACTGATGAGTAACAGTAGCAATGACAAATTCATTTTCCATGGCCCTCTTTGCCTTAGTATAACTTAATTTATAATTCAGAGCTGATGCCATCCTGCATATCAAAAAATACAAAATTGGAAGAACATACATAAGTTACAGGAATTTTTGCAGGAGTAGGACAAGTTCCCTCTCCAGGGACATGTCCAAACCATTGCCCATCTTTTATTTTTTTGAATTGAGAGAGCATTGTTATAAGTATTTCCTCAGCAGTTATGTGTTTGTTTTTCTTGGGCATATTGATTTTCACTTCATACCACTGATTTTATTAGTGTTGTCTGGAGATGATGGAACTACTGCTTATGAAAACCAGACACAGTGCTTCCCTTCTTATGAGACACTTACAGTGTTTGAATTGAAGATATGAATTCACCTGTCAGTCAGGCACAGGGGGGCTGCCTGAAAATATCATCACCCCTCACGTGTCTGGCTTTCAGATCTGAGCATTACATGTGAAAATGCAGTGGAACAGCTGCCAGAAAATTGTGAAGAAAGTAACCAAGAATCAACCACACACTTGGGGAAGGAGCCAATGAGATGGGGGACTTCCAAAACACTCCAGCTTATGCAAGAGCAAGAGTGATCATGAGAGTAACAGGAGCTCCCAGGGTCACAGGGCAAGTCTGCTGTTTAATTCTTTGTTGAATGCAGCTGTACCTCCAGTCTAAGGGAACACAAAGAGCCAAAGTCTCAAAAAATCTAAATCTAATGTGAATAATATGCCAAGCCCCTGTGTCCCCAGGGGTGTTATCTAACATCAGGCTAATGTCTTTGAAGTCTTGAGATTAGACATCTATCCTTTCAACTGGAAGGTGACAGAAAAGAGTCAGGTTTCCAAGTGTATTAAGGCACATACTAACTTGACCTAAACACAAGTCCCTGGTTTCTCAGGGAGCATCCACTGCAGTGGTGCCACAGCTGCTGAAAAGGTACAGCAAAGGGACAAAGTCAGACTTCCTGGTGGCAGCCACGGAGCACAGCAATTGGGACTGCCCTGTGTAAGCTGCTCCACAATGCCTCAGAGCCTCTCTACTGTCTTACAGTACTATCTCAGCTTGTTGCAGAATTACAGCAGCTTCTCAGGCTGGTTTGCTGGCTTTTCCTTTTGCCAGGCCACCAGTATCTCGTTTGTTCTCCTTCACTCAGCTCAATACATCACTGCTTGTCAGAGCCAGAAGTCCCTATCTACTAGGAGAGGATGGTACTACACACGTTGGAGAGGACAAATTTAGATATAAAGGAAAGTAGCAACGATGCACAAGTGACCTGGAGGTGGGCTTCCCAAAAGAATCCATGCATGGGCACAGTCTCCAGATTCACTCTGCAGAAATGCTCAGCAATGGCCAGCGGGTCTTACTGTGCTTCACATGAGTACGTTTAAGAACATTACCCAGTATTTCCTGAGGGATTACAATGGATGACTATCAGCCATATTGGAAAAAGTTGGGGAACACAGACACAATATTGCATAGTCAGCTTCATGAGCACAGCTAGAATTCAGATGTATTTGACACAGCTTAGTAACATTTCCGAAGGATGGATTATGTGCTATTTCCTTTGGAGGCAACTACTGTAGCCTGGGACAAGATCATGGCTCTTATGGAAATAACACCCCAACAGGGACGCTGAGCACTCATTGCTTTTGCATTAAAACGGCCTCTCCACAGAGACTCACGGCACCTTAAAAAGTGATCATACAAAAAGCAAACAAAATAGTCTTCTAGAAAACCCCTCACCCATTAGGTACAAGTAAAACTGAGTCCCGTGAGTGACAAAAAAGACAGCATTACTGGATATGGGAGCGTGTGCTTATACATCAGTGTTTTTAATACTGCATTGCATTGACAGGCGTGGGGTGTCCCTTCAGAAGAAAGCAGGGTTGGTGTGCTCTATAATACAGCGCTTGCAATGTCGTTTAACAAATCGCAGAGCATCCACAGAGACTTCACAATCCTGCACGTTCAACATCTGCAGGTCAAAACAGTTGGCAGCTACAATCTGCAGGCCATGCCCAGTGATGCTCTCGCAGGATTTCAGGCTCAGGCGCTTTAGGTTGAAGCAGTTGAGGGCTAGAAACTCCAGGCCGGTGTCTGAGACCAGGGGGCACTTTCCGATGTCTAGCGATTTGAGTTTTGTGCAATTTTTGGCAAGGTACTCCACGCCATGGTCCGTGATGCCCTCGCAGCCCCGCGCATTGAGGTAGCGCAGCTTGCTGCAGTATTTGGCTATGTATCGGATACCCACATCCGTGATGCGGCCACAGTGAGCGATGCTCAGGTATCGGAGATGCGACTCCAGCTTGGCGATCTCCCGCATGCCAAAGTCGCTGACGAAGCGGCAGTCGCTCACGCTCAGTTCCTTGATGGATGTGCAGTAAATCATCAGGTAGCGCAGACCCTCGTCAGTGATGCGGACACAGCGGCGCAGGTACAGGTGGGTCAGCTGAGTGCAGTGGGCGGCAATGGTGTGCAGTCCTTCATCCTCCAGGACGAAGCAGTCTGTCATGTCCAAGTAGCGGATGGAGATTTGCTTCCCATGCAAGGGAGACAGCTTGATGGAGGCTTCACGAGTCAAACTGATGCATGTTACTTTGGAGCAGCCTAAGCGGAAAAACACAGTGAGTTTAAGCAAGCAGTAAAAACAAAGCATGCAGAAAGGCAGGTGTGGAATGGTGTGCCAGATGTGATGAAGGTATCATCATGTTGCAAGAGTGGAATCACTCTGACCGACTGCTCTGATTTGCTGTGCTGAGTCCCCACACCAGAGGAAACAATAAACTCCACTGGAGTCAGTGAGGTTACTTTGAGATTGTGAGCCCTGAAAAGCAACTGACTGGTTTTGTCCATACCCATATGTAAAATGGTGGTCCTGGGTCTATCTGGGGACAGCTTGTGATCTGTTACTGCACTATGAACCCAGTGACAGTTAGCGAAAAGGATACTATGTGACAACCAATGCAGTTTTTTGATCAGTTTTGTTGCTGACTGGCTGAATTTGCAAACCAATATCAGAGGCTCTTTTGCCATTCAAATTCATTATAGAAAACACAACCCCACTCCCTTTCCACTCCTCCCCTGCCTCAAGCATTTGGAGAACAGATGTGAATCCAGCCCCAAGCCTGCAATGTGGGAAGGATGCAAAACGATGGCCCAACTGTGTACTTGCAAAAGGGTGGAGATTTGGATAACCTAAGGAGAATGGAGGAAATTGGTAGGAGCCAACAGACTGATAAGGGCATGTGAGAACACAGACAGAAAAAGAAAAGGATTGTGTCCAATGAGAAAGTCTGGCCATGAATGGAGGTAGTTAGACTGGAGGAGAAAAAAAAGACCTTGCAAGGAAAGACAAAGAACTAGATTAAAGGGAAAAATACACACAGACTTTCCCCCTTTTTAACCTCCACTCCACAGTGGAGAGTGAAAGCTTTTTTTTGGAAAGTGTGGTTTCTGCTGCACTGCAAACTGGCAGTCTTAGGCTTCTTGGGGAAATTCTTAAACTGTGCCAAATTCAGCTGGGCTCTTTGCATTAGCATAGCTAGAAACAGCTGCAAGAAATGAGAGTCTACCCATTAGTGATTAAGGCCCAACAGTTTTAGCCATAAATGGCTACTCAGAGAATTTCTGCAGGTTATGCTCAAAGAGGTGTCCCCAGGTAGAAATAAAAAGACCTTTTCTGGCCAAGCAGTATGCAGTGACAAAGCAGTATGAAGTATAAAAAGTGATGACCTTAGAGCTCCATGTATCAGAAACTCTGCAAAACACTGTAGTGTAGAATTAAAGAGCATGATGATGTATGGAGACTGCCTCAAAAGCTTACATTACCCAAAGCTATACCACTTGCTATTAGAGGTTGTCATTCAGAGGCTTAGTGGAAGGTATGAATATGCTTCAGTTTTTAAAAGCAAAAACATCACTTGAGATAACTGTGTAGATTCACACAAATGCTGTAAAATGAGTGGGATACAGACTTGAAACACTTTGCCACCTGCAACCACACTTCTAAATTCACAATTTAAATTTATGCTGGATCTTTAATTGGGACTTCAAATTTAGTCGAACAGATGCAAATTTTACTTTAGGCCTCAGACAATTAAATGGGCAAATTGCCCACAAATCATGCAGAAGAAAAACCTTGAAGTAAAACACTCTGCTCAACAAACATCTTAAAACTGAATGCTATTTCTCTTCAGACTGTTTCAGATCCATCTATGCTCTGGAGCAATCTCTGGAAATACTTTTGCCTTGAGGTTAAGTACTATATACACACTCAGTAACACAAAGGATTTTTTTTAAAGGGAAGCAGAACAATACTAATGGTGTAAAAAATGCACCTCTAGTATATTATTTGAAGTAGATGATACAAAATACATGAAAGGAGTTTCACAGAAGAAGCTGGCACTTAGGCAGAGTTCTGCTGCACCTGATGTAGCTGCTGCTGTTGGATTTGGCTGAGGATGTTGCTGGATTAAGAAGTCAGTCTGGATATTTTATATTCTGACCAGAATTCAAATCTAAATCCAGCTTAATGAGAATGATGCATCCACAAGGCCAAGGAGAATATTCTGTCTGCTGAGAGTCCAAGAAATTTTAATGACTGTAATTAGAAAGTGAACAGGTCAGAAGTCTCTCAGCAGGGCTGGAGTCACATACATCAGTTGTGCGATCACAGTTTTGTCAAGCTCAGCACTGCCATGTTGAGTTACTTTGGCTACACTGTAAAATATTTCATGGGAAGGATATTCAAAACAGTTTCAACAGAAAAATGAGTCTATGCTGATACAGAACTGACTGGTTTTTAGGCAAAATGACAGGTTCCTGGGTCTGCAAAAATTTTTGTGTCCTAAATAGTACAAAGTGTAAAAATTAAGCCCTTGTGACAGGATTTTCCATAAAGTATAACTGTTTTCTAAAAGGGAGGTGAAACATCCAAATAAACCGAAAAACATATTGGCTAGAGTGTTAGATAATAACTAGCAGTCAAGCTTAACCAATTTCTAGCAATATCTCAGACCTACCCACAAAGCGGATGCTGACAGTGACAGAATTTACATAGTGGAAAGCTCCTAAAGATAATACAAATATCTGGTTTTGACATTAAAGATTTTGGTAAGCTTTTGCTGCCAAGTAGCCATCCAAAGGGGAAAAGGATTTAACCAGATGTACAACTGTGAACTGGGATTTAATTAACTAGCAACCAGCGTCACCGCCCAACACACACCCCCACGTCCTATTGCTCGGTATGGAACCAAACCAGTGAACCACTTCAGTCCTGAGAATTCCTTGAGCATGTAGGTGCAAGCCTTGTAACTACAGAGAGAAGAACAGGAAAATGGAATCCTCTTTCTAAAACATCCTCCAAAATTACCCACATCAGAATATGGACTCAAAACAAGAGCCTGGCTACTGATTATCCTCAATTCCTATGGTACATGCAGCAAAAGCTATATCTGAACCCAAACACACTGACTTCTGAGCATGTTCAAAAGCAGGATTTTCCCCTCACATACTCTAAATAGAAAGAACAACTTAGGAAAAAAAGAAATTAAAATTACTTTCTTATCTCATTGATGAAACAAAATAGAAGGAAGATAGGAATTTTATTCAACTATTGCACACTTTATACCAAACTGATGAGCTCTTAGGGACAGACTCTACCTTCTGGGTCTAAGAGTAAGAGGGTTGGGAAAACCATAAAGGAAGATAGTCTCCAAAAGAACCTATTTCAAGACCTGGTATCATCATTTACTTTCCCCTGCCTTTGAAAAAGTCACCTTTGTTCTACAGAACATCCATAAATAAAAGCTATGGACCAAAGCATTTTCAACCACCTACAAGCTCCCAGGTACACTCAGGCTGTGAGCTTCAAAGCTCTAGGTCCAAATCACACAGGTACATACATTTTTTCCTGGCACTGGAGATGCTTCAATCCGAATGCATGATTAGCAATCCAGAACTAACGTCAGTGTGTACCAACAACAACTAATTCATACACAAGGTCACTATGAATAGACTCCTGTGGAGTTCCATAGACTCCTTATTACCTTTGTGGTTTCAGAAAGCAATCACAAAAAGGGCATAATTCTGATTTATTGATATTTGTTTTGATGCCTTCCATGACATTCTAGCATCCTAGGAATGAGGTGAGAGAGTTGGATAAATCAGCTTAAAAAAAAAAAAAAAAGGAGAGAAAGGAGTGCATATAAGTGTACACCAGATAGGTACCCTTGGAAAAAGCATCTGGTACCAATGACTTGATAGCATCACTTTCTGTGTCCTGTTGTTTAACCCCCTGTCTTCATCTTTCTTGTTGCCATTGGTACCTCTGCAATGGCAAATCTGGTTTGGCTGATTTATGATGGTGTTAGACCGATAACAGATGAGATCACAAAGTAAATGTTGAACATCAAATTTACATCAGTGCTCTGCTTAGCTGCATCCTTTCCATTACATGCCAACCTATTTGCAGAGAGAAAATTCTGTGCGGCTGACATTGGGAAAAAACATCTTGTTTGACCAGAGCTGGCTTGAAGAAAATTGTCTAAAACATTTCTGCTGAACTAAACAGCTGCAATGTCAGCTTAAAAAAAAAAAATAGGGAAGAAAAGAGAAAAAAAGTTCAAGCTGGCTAAGTCTTGTTAAAATAGCAATGGAAACAAGGGGACCTTGAAGTTTAGCGAGGGATGACAACAGATATTAATACCTAGAAAAAAAGCTTAGCACTTATTCTGAGCTCCTCCTCAATTCACTTAGCTGATTACAAATGTATTCATTACCTACCTATAATATACATATACAGGTGTGTATATGTAGATTATTTATAAATAATGAATATAATACAATTAATATAATATATATATAAGATGCATATATAATCTACATATACACGTGAGTGAAAAAGATAAAATTTTGCTGACGTAACTAGGCTTCACCACATGACACAGCACTGACTGCAGTGTGGGCCCTTCTATGGGTGCTTTGTGCAAAAATTTGTAATAACTCCTCGTGCCATGTGAACATGCCATCTCTGCTAGCTTACTTCTTTTGGAGGAGGCCTGGCCATTCCAGAAGTGCTGCTGGCAACAGGGGAACTGAGATTTTAGTGGTGCCTGTCTCACAGGTGCTCTGTTAGGAGATAGGCATTCCTACTTCAAAAGACAACGCAGAAAGGACAAGCGTGTAGTTATGGAGTTTGACAAACATCAAAAGCACCTGTATTGGAGCAGTCCCTCTTACCTGATACATCCAGGTGTTCCAGGTTTGGGCACAGTGACACAACATCAAAGACTGCCTCATTGGAGATGTTGTAACAGCCAGACACCTCCAGCCTCCGCAGTTCTGGACAGCACTGGGCAATGGTGTAGAGTCCTCTGTCTGTGAGCCGCCTGCAGCCACTAACAATTACCGTCTCCAACATGAGACATACGTTGGGAGTATCCTGACAAAGCCTCCGGGTCAGCACTTTGAGAGCCCTGTCTACGTTGATTGTCTCACCAGTCAGGCAAATTGTCCTCCAAAGTCGTGGGTCCCAGGCCAGATTGTACCAGCGGCGGCACACGCGGGCACAGCGGCACAGCTGGTTGGTGGGCAGGAAGGAGAAGATCTGGATCATGGAGTGGTCGGGCAGCCGGTCTATGTTGGCCTGCTCCTTCTGGTGCTTGGATGCCAGCCGGATAAGAGGATGGGTGAGACGGGTGGGAGGTGGCGAATGGACCATGGCAACAGTTTCCCCAGTGACTGAGGATGAAGATGTCGACGAACCCCTGCCATTTTGGAACCCAGGGGAATTCGGTGGAAATATTAACGCTGGACTGGGTGTGCTGAGCGTTCGCATGCTCAGGTCGGAATCTGGAAGATAGAACACACAATTTCAATGAACACTGGACAAATACAGAGCTCTCTGCACAGCACAGCACCCTGCTAGCCCACGTGCTAATGAAGTACGATGGACTTTAGGGTTTACTGGGGGTTAAGCAGTTACTTCTACCAGTCAGAGTGAGAAAACGTATTTCAAAAGCCATGTGAGCAAAGGAGATGATACAGTTCTGAGTCCTGAAGAGGAGACAGCAGTGGAAGGATTTTTTAAAATCCAAGATTTTTTATTCTTTATACTCTTAATTAAACACTGAATTGAAAGATTATGTTTGAGTCACAGGCTTCTTTTTTTTTTTTTTTTTGGCAGAAAGTAACTGTCCATAACCTTGACCGAGCTGTGAGCTCTTACGTGCAGAAAATGCTGTGGTCCTTCATCTCTCAGCTCCTTCAGCCTCATTCACCAAGAGGCCAAAAAAGAGCTCACAAGGCAAATGCCTTTTCCTTCACCAGATCTGGGCAGATAGGAAAAGCTCAACTCCATACACATATTTTCAAAGTGTCATCAGAGAAGTTAATTTCTCAGTCAAGCAAACTGAAACTCGGAAGTTCATCCAAGAGCTCAGTGACTAGTTCTTCATGTGCACGCAAAATACACTCCTTTCCAATGGACTAAAGTGAACTTCAGCTGGGGGAAGAAAAAAAAAAGCCCAGAAAAGTAACTAATGAAGAAAGAGCATGCCTGGAAACTTGTTGGAGAATTGTTATACAATATTTATACACTTATACACTTATTGCTAGAGCTATTTGTCACACTGGAAGCAGTCAATTCAACTACTTCTTTACCTTTTTTTGTTCATTTTAATTACCAAAATCAGGCACAAAAATTGAGGGGTTTTTTGCTATTAAGAAAGAGTACCTTTGCTGTGAGGTTATTTCAACTGTTTTCCCTGTGTGCTGACATTGTCTGCAAGTAATTTCCACTCCTGCCCCCAGTTTCTCCAAGCAAACCAAGTAAAAGACTGGAAGACAACTAAGATATAACTTTGATAGTCAAGCAAATGCCATGGGCAATACATTTAGAGACTCTGAGGATATTTTAGCAGTATGCTACACAAGATACAACCAGTGTCTGAGAGAGATGCATGCTGCTGCTGAGCACATTCCCTCCACCTCAGTACTGATCTCCACAGAAATTTTTCATAGAGCAAAGCACCTCCCATAAATGAATACAGTAACCACAATTTAGTGACCAGCAGAATAAAATATTTCGCAGACAGACAATGCTTTTAGAGGACCAAGCTTTTCTCCATATCACATCTCCTGCTGTCACATCAATGTTCAGGCCTTTCAGGGACGTGTACAAAGGCAGTCCCTTAAGTAACACTGACTCTGCAGCTGTGTGACTGTGACAGCACAGATAAGGGCTAAGCAAGATACAGCCAGAAATGCATTCAACAAACATATCCACACCTGGATTTGAGCTGAGTTTTTTAATTAAGTACATTTTTGGTGAATTTGATCGTTACACATAAATTTCCCTGTCAAGCTTTTACTTAGCCCAGCAGAGGCCTGCTCTGATCTCACTACCTACAACAACAACCACAGACCTGTATTCTCACAGTGTCTGCAAGCAACAGAGGCACAAATATTTAGCGGAAGAACCCAAGACACAAAGTCCAATGGCTTGCTTAAGATCACCTAATTGAGTTGCAGAGACATCAAAATCATCTTCTCACACTGTGGAGAAAAAACACTGTATTACCCACCTCCTTTCCTTCTTCCTCTTCTGCACCTTGTTTTACTTAGAAACTCACTGTTTCAGCAAATGAAAGGAAGGAATATTTCACCAAGGTTTCTGAGTCCGTGCTATGTCTATGTGGTACTAACACAGGGATTTGTGTACACTTTGTTCCCTTTGTGACCTCCTAATACCCCCCATGGCAGCTTTTGCAAATAATTGCATCGAAGAGTGTTATTTGGTAAGCATCTGGAATATGCCGGTATTTTAAAAATTAGATTTACAGCGGAGAGAAAAAAAAAACAACCAGTAGCAGCCAGGCTCCTGCAAACAAGCACTGACTCCACAGGCCTCTTAAGCAACAGTCCCTGAGATTAATTTTTGCAAGGATTTACCATATGTTTGACCTCCCTCACATTATCACCAAAACCAGTGACAGTGCCTGAAGCTAAACATGTGCAGAATATGTGGAAAAGCCTTTACTTTTTGCTCCTTTTTTGAGATTTTAATACAAGAATGTTTCTAACATAAAAGAATATACACCTTTTTCCAAGTGCTGGATGTACCTTCTACTATTACATGTATATGATAGCATCAATTCTTTTTGCTTTACTTCTTCAATTGCTTTGGGCCTTTTCCTTGGTTGATTGTTGGTTGTTTGTTTTACACAAACCAGAATGAAAAGGAAAACAAAATGATATAAATAAAAAAACACAGAAGAAAAACTGGTTTCTATTCCACAAAATAGAATTAAAATCAAAAGCAAAAAGTTTAAATTATTAACATCTGATTTAAACAATTTTTAGTCCTGTGGGAATGACTACCTTCTGTAAGACACAGCGTATTTGAAAAACACATATTTTTAGTCAGTTATTGCTAAAAACACTTTAAAATTTCTGTAGGGTCTTCGTTAGTTCTACGGTTTTCATTAGTTTCCATTTCTACTTAAGCATAAAAAAGCTTTTCATACTCCATGATTCTCTCCCCTTCCCCTGTGAGCAATGGTCCAAGCTAATACGGATAATCTCCACTGCTTTTGGATCAGAAGTGGAATTCCTTCAACACTCCTGGGCACTGTGAATAATCAATACCTTAGACATTCTGGGTGTGTAATGAATTACTAATATATGTTTTTTAACTTAGACTTCAAGCTAAGAAAGGCCTGACTTTCTGTTTTATGTGTATGCTCCGTGCTTTGTACTCTCTTAATTATCTCATTAGTATAGCAGTTCCAGATGTGCATCCTGTATTTCCATTCCCTTAAATCCTGAAGGTGCATAATATAAAACTTGCTCCATTCGTTCTCAGGGCATGGACTTCCAGACATACACATCCATCCTATCTCCCCACCACAAAGTACTGTGGAAAAAGACTGTAGTGGTGTCACTGTTTAAAAAAGTGAGTTGTGAGCACATTACTGCTCTGCTGAGCTCATAATGCAATATGCTCTCAGACAGGAATTTTGCTGGTATCTCAGATGAACTCCACAAAGAGGTATTCCTGCTTACTGTTCGCTGTATGTGGGAGGGGACTTGGGAGATAGTTCCCCTGAGTTGCCATGGGAGGTGACCAACGTGTAACTTCCTGCCTCCCCTGTTGTCAATCTTTAGTTGTACCTTCCCCTCGTTTCTGTCCATCATTATGTAAGCCATCCCCCGGTTCTGGAAAGTTCTTCGTTCTCTGTATCCCCATTGGTTCCTTCCCTATAACCACTCCTTTCCCCTTGGTTGTCACCCCATCTCTCACCCTCTACTCCGCCCCTGAACCTTTTCCTCATTGGATGTTTCTTACCCTGACCTTCCTTCCCCGCTACAGTTATATTCATCACCCTGCACTCAGCTCAGGGCTCTCAGTGTGAGCTCCCTTCCAGAGAGCTTGTCTGCCTTTGTTCCCCGATCCATCTTTCCTACAATAAACTCTTGTGGAAACAACGCCGCCTGAGTGGCATCCCGCTGTCAAGAGGATGCTTTTTTAATGCTATCCGGTCCCTGAGGACCTGACCCTGTGGCATGCCCAGAGGTCACAGGACCCAGGTGCCTCAGCTGTAAACCCCTAAGGGGAAACAAAAAATAAAAATTAGCAGGTGAGTCCAGAAGCCTTATTGCCAGAAAAAACTTGGAAAGCTTTTTGCTAGCATTCAAAACTTCAGCAAAACACTTGGTCTACTGTACATTCTCCAGACTTTTCTAATGTTGTTGGGAGGGGCTTCCTGTAGCACTATCAACCTCTAGGAGTTTCCTTAGAACTTTATTCTTCACCATCTACTGAGTGCTAGCCAACAGGCCAGGGCAGTCTGAGAAAGAGCAACTTAACGACTGTGTAACATTAATAAACACAACCCTACAAGTACAAATGAAGTTGCTGATTACAGTTCTCAATACACATCTTTATACACACACATGCCCTATACAAGCATTTTTCTTGTAAACTCAATTGTTTACAAGCCTTAAATGTAACTGTAATTTTGGTGATCTTAAAAAGTAAAAGCAAACTAGAAAGCAGCCCTGCACTTCCCTCCCTACAACCTCTTTTGCCCCTTTGCCTCCAATCTTCTGTGTAAGACACCTTTTATTAAGGCTTTGATCAAGCTCTGAAAGTTGTTTGTTGATGTAGGACAAAATTTCTTAACAATATTTTAAGAAATCTCAAAAGATGTGTGCCAGAAACAGAACCATAAAAGCTGACACAGAGGGAGAAAATGCACTAGAGTCAGTTTTCTTATTCCACTAGGAATCTGGTTTATTTAAAAGGATTTTTTTTCTCCCCATTTTGTTTCCCAATTAATAGATACAGATGGGAACAAAAAACCTTTAAACATGCAAGATTTATGCCAAGATCTAACCTCCATTCCTTCTGGCATCGACAATAATATGATTTCAGAACCAGAAAGAGAAAACAACATTATATTTCCATTACTCCAGCAATGCACACTAACACAGGACACTTGATGTCCAGATCCTAGCATGAACTTTTTAAGGTTGAACCATTTTCCATGATTAAGGCATGACTCCATTAATTCACACCTTCCACTATGGTATTGTGAATAAGTGTTTTGTGAAATGAATGCTATACTAAATTCTTCAAGCTAACAAAATGAAAATGAAAATTTTGCAAATATCAATCAAGCTTCAGATTCTTATCTGACAACTGAAAAGGATCCGCCATGTAGATCTCCTGTCACTACTGACATTTTTAGCAAAACTAAGGCAAGAAATAAACAAAACTGTGTTCAAGCTCTGAAAAAGGCAGTATAGCTGAGAAAAATAAAAAGCAATTGTCATTTTTGTAAACATTA